AAAAAAAATGGCGATATGAAAATAATATAAAAACACACAGTTTCAACTCAGAAGTCATATGCACAAAATAACATAAATAATTAGCACAAATAAAATTATTAGAATATTACCTGGAGGTGAATTGAATGACGACCCTTTCGATTTATATATGCTTCTGGACTATTTTTTGGTGCAGGAATATTTATATGCGTACCGTCTATAGCTCCTATAGTACCAGGAAAGCCGCGTGCACGAGAAAAACCATAAATAATATTCTCAATGTCATTTTCATCAGGCCATATTATATATCTTTGCGAGATCTCACACAGAGCTTTAGCAACACGACGTACAGCTGTTATTGCAGTCCCTTTACTAACGTTAAATCTTTGAAGTATTGATCTAAAGAAAGAAAAATTATTGTTATATGTAATATAAAAATGTAATGAGTAATGACAACATAAAGATAACTATATTTTTACCTATATGAATCAGGTGTCGCAAAACGCCATAGTGCTATTAAAAACTGCTTCTCTGGTGATATTAATTCAATTCCATTACCTGTACCATGAAGTTTTTCGGCAATTTGACTCAAAATATATTCAAATGTTGAAGGTAGGATACTATAATAACATTCAATTTTTAAAGTATGAATCATTATGTATACACATTTCAAAATTCGAATGTAATATAAGCATATAACTCAAATTAGATAATATACATAAAATAAATTAGATAAAATAATCTTACCGAAAATGTGATTTAAAATGTTCATTGTTAAATGATGGTATTATGCGCTCGACATAACCTTTAATCTTTTTATTAGAAGATGCACTTTTTGCAGAATCAGAACATGCTATTAAATCATCTTCATCGTCATTTAAGTAAATGAGTGATTCCAAAAATTTATTTACGCATATTAATACAATAATTTTTTTTCTATCCATAATCGTATATACGTGTTGTATGTTGTATGCTGTCAACGATTTAATTCAATTTGGAAGCGTTTGCAGCGCTATCTTGACCGTACCCGAGTGAAACGTTTGCAACTTTGAAAGTGTTCATTGACCGGGTCTATGAAAGCGTTAGAATAGAAAGCGATTGAAGCGTTCAATAAGGTCCGCTTGACCGCACCC